CTTTCGCCCTCTGGGGGGAGCCTCGATGGAAAATCAACACCGGTTGCATAGTGTACCTTTAAATCTTGATAAAAATAGATTTTATTCTGTTTCACTGTCAACGGTCGAATTTCAAATTTCGAATATTAATTATGAATTATTTAATGTAATAAATTTATCAAAATGACTCCACATCTGTAGACATGTTTGATGTGTGTGGTTTGACAAGTCAGCCAAGATCCTAATCTGCAATATATTTATGAAGATTTGACTTTTATGTTTAGTGTTCATAATAAAAGTACAATAAAGCACATTAGATGTTTAGGAAATTGATATTTATGCACATTTACAGGCTACAAATAGCAATAAAGATGAACAATAATCCTTGACAAGCTATTTAACAAAAATGAAATAAACTTTAATTTTTCGGGGTAACAAAAAAAAGCAGCAAGATGTGTGTTTTAGTTTAACTGTGTACGAAAATAATAGAATAATAGTAACTTATTCCATGCAAGTGAATCCATTATAAATGAAGATGTATTGATAAAGCCAGGCGGCCAAAATTAGAGCAGCTTCTAACAGACACGGATAAAGTCTTTTTTCCCGAACATAAAGAACTAATCTCAGGAATGTTTAGCCTTTTATTTCACCAAGCAAACCATTACATACGGAACACCCGCCCACATTACGTCCCCTCAGCCAGTCAGCTGCATGTATGCCTCCAACTCTGCGGTTCACTGAACGTCTCTCGGGTTGTAGTACCATGCCATTTTAGATTGTAACTGACGTAAACAATGTTACCAATATAAGAAGTAATCAAACAGATTAGAAACCCCCAAAAAACCAATGTGTGCAAAGGTTTTTCTTTTAGATTTTTTTAGATTAACAACTGCCAACTGTTATATTCTACTTTAAATTGAACATGTATCCATGCCTTTTAAAACTATTTGGTATATAATGAAGGGAAATCAGAAGCAAACTCATTCTTGTAAATTTGCCTACAAACAGCAATGCAGTCATGACTTCGTACTCTCTGTTTGTATCAAACCGTTTTCATTCCATCAGCCATTTTGCACCTCTGTACCTCAGCTGGAAAATTCCCAGTTACTCTCAAAACCTTTTTTTGTTTCAATTTGAAAACATTTTTGTTTCAGATTTCTATTTATGAAACATGTTCTCTGGTTGCAACAATAATGGACCAAAATTCACTCCATACATTTGGAAGAGACTTATCTTGTGAAAAAATAGCCAATCCGATTTAAACAAAGATCTCTGAGTCATCTCCCGCATTAGCTCAAAGTCGACTGCTTACATTTATTGCTTTGGGATATGTGATGATTTTAGAAATATGCTAGAAGTCATCTAGTGGCAAAGCAGGTACGAAATGTCCCACAGAGGGTGCCGTACATCAGTGCTAAACATCCTCCGATTGGCTGCTCTTTATTGGGAGCTAAAAAAGTTCCAATGTTAGAAATAGTTTGCCTGAAAAAGTGAAAAGCATCGTATGTAGTGAGGGGACCAAAAAACATTTGTTTTTTATTTTGCTGCATTTTTTTGGTGCCTTGTTTGTGGAGGTTTTCTTATTTCATTTGTTCATCTAAATGATTCATCTCTTACATCAGTTTTCTCTTTTTGTTTAAAAAACTACAAATAATTATTCACTTGTTTAGGTGCAGTAAAAAATAGCTGTGATGAATTACTTACATGGTGTGCAAAGTTAACCCAACTTCCATAACAACACCATTACTATCGCATATATATCTCTATATATATATATATAGTGTGGAAATCTGTTTATATGCTGCTTCCTGAGGGATGCTTGTAATGGTATAGAGGAAACGCTTTCAGAGAGGTATGCCAAAGCCTTTGTAGATAAAACTCTGACAAACGCAGAGGAAATGGCACCAGTATATATCAGATAGTTTGCTTCTGATGTGTGTGTAAATCCAGCTGAGTCTACATACAGATATTAATGTTCTATGTGGAGTCGTGTGTCGTTTGCCTCCAGCAGGTTTTTTTTAACCATTTCCAACAAGTTGCTGGGTCCTTGTGGTTTTGTCAACCGTCCCACCATCCGTCCCCGTCTTCCATTTCATCTGCCGATTCGTGCTGGTGGATGTTGTGTTGTTAGGCCGGTGTGTTGTGTTCAACGGCGTCTTTGTAAAAGGAGGGAAGCAAAAATAAGAAAAGAAAAGAGTCTGCTCCTGTGGTTGGGACACAGTCAGTCGGTCGACGTGGGCTTAGGAGAGGATTCTGTGTTACATTGATGTAAAACACATTTTCTTCTATGTGACCTAATTTGAGGTTTTTAATGTAACTTCTGTACGGCAGGATTTGTTTGCTGTGTGTGTTTTTTTCTGTAAATGAAGCTAACTGTGTTTTGTTGTTCCCCAAAATAAAACACAAGGGGAGGGGGATTTTCTCTTAGGTGCCATGCTGCTACCGAATGAAGGCCGAGGCAAAGTATTTTTAGTGCAATGAATATTATATTAATTACCTAGAATTAATATAGGAGGAAAGTTGCAATAACTTATTTTCAAATAAAGCTACTAGAATCGGCCATTTATGATTATAAAATGGTATCAACTGCTGGAAGCCAAGCCATAAAATATTAACTATTTGTTTTATATAAGTGTGAGACTTGAAATTACTAATTCAATAATCCCAATACATTAATATACACCTTGTGCAGTGACACTGTGGATCAGATTTATTTTTGTTTTTAAGAAAAGGCTGCAATGACAGTGCTTTCTTGATCTTAGGCTTTTTCTTTGTGTTAACGTGCGTCTGTAAATGTGAGAGTACTTCGGTGATGTTTTCTTTTTTGAGTATTAACTGCAATAAAATGATTTTTTTTTTTTAGTTTGTTGTTGATTCATCAGCTTTTTGAAAAGATCTTTTCTTTATAAAACTGCAGCAGCTTGAACAGCAGATGGAGACAAAAATACACCCAGGAATCCAGATGGAGCCAAAGCGACTTGGGAAAGGTGGACAGATGGGGATGGACAGGTTAGATCTTATTACGAGATGACAAACAACTTATAAATCTCTATCTGACATACCTGTAAAATGCACTTCACTTTAATAAACAGATATGTTTATTGATTTTTAATAATTAATGCAAAAAAAGAGAATTATGAGTCAGACTGTATAATTTAAGGAGTCTATTCTAATCCACATTTATTAATTTCAGACAGTGTCTGGTTTGAAATGGAAAGCACCTTAATGTTAACTGCATCAAAAATGTAAATCAAAAGAATTGAATACTAGCCAATTAAAATTAAATAAGGCAAATATAGCTGGGGAAAAAAACAATAAAAAACTCACTCCTACAATAACTGATGGGGCCATTAGCAGCTATGAAGTAATTATTGACTGATTGATTGATTGATTGATTGATTGATTGATTGATTGATTGATTGATTGATTGATTGATTGACTTTATTGATCTCACAGTGGAGAAATGTACTCGTTACATCAGCTGAAATATTTAAAGAAGAAGAATTAAAAATTTTAATTCTTATGAACTGAAGGTCTTGTTGGGTTTATGTCTTCACCAGTGTTGCTGAAGGATGGGCTGAAACTTTGGCTCATATTCGCAGAAAAACAGCTCAAAACCAACGATAAAGGATGGAGAGCGTCTGCAGAGAAATAAGGGAGCAGCTGTTAAAATGGAGTACGAGTAATCAGAATGTAAATGCATGA